CAAAGTTTCATTATCAAGGCAGATGCAATCTTATCACATCTAGACTAACAGGATGAATGATCTCTCAATGTTCAGAATACTTCAAACTGCATGGCCTTTAACATCATAATTTTCTCTATTTTCTCGATTATTTCTTCTTTTGTTTGTGGGACAGCGCCTACAAAAATTCCAAGCATTTACTTCTTTATTTTTGAATACGAGTTGTTTGGGAATATGTGCACCAGTTAGGGTTGTGGGAGAGGATCCATCTGGCCAGACCACGAACAGGAAAATCCCTACGATAAAATAAAAAAAGCATGTGTGATCAAGGTGAAGGGGGCATTGAACTGTCGACCTTTTCCTAGGGAGATTCCACGTGATCGGCCAGGGAGGACGCTACGACGGGCGTGAGACCCGTCAAAACTATCTCTAAAGCTAATGCAATGTTCTTCAATGGACAAGATATTTAAATAATTTCATAAAGTAGTTTGTGTTGTTTTTTGTGTAAATATGAACATGAGATCAATTTGTAATGGTGAAATCTCAGAGATTTGACTGTGCTTGAAAGTTGTACATATTTTTTTTACATGTTGGTTGTTTGGATTTTTTTCTATTTTTTTTTTTTTTTTGAGACCCAAATTAGAGAGGAATTGCCAGAATGAGCCATTCGCAGAACGAAAGCTTCAATAAATAAACGTCTGGCGTGCTCAAAGAAGAGCACACCTTATCGGTTTGGTAACGTTAGTACCTTAAAACATGGACATCAATCCAGCTTTTTACATAAAACAGTTACATTTGTATTGTAAGATAACATTTTTAAATGCACAACTGTAAATAATTCATCTCCCTCGAAATGTGATACCGACTACCGGAGGAGATTATTGCAAAGTAATGGTATGTAGACTAGAAACATTCCTCACAAAATTAAGTATAATTTTTTAAAACTAAAATTTTAATTCCTGGTTTTTTAAGAGTTTTGCTTTTGAGTATTTGAGGCATGCTTTCTGCAGCTCATGTGATTTGAACTAGAATTTTTATTTTAAAAAATGTCTACAAAATTTGGCAGACTAAAAAATGTTTAAAAAAATAAACAATGATATGGTATTGATGAGATTTGTAAACAAGCAACATGTGGGTACAACAAGAATCAGTATGTTTAATGTGGGAAATCATTTTGAAATTTTTGTAGAGATAAGTGCTGGTTTGGTGCCTGTGAGCTTTTATCTCTCCAAGTTTCTAGCTAAAGCAATAAGTTAATCTTTTTTCACATTGAACTTCTTCTCTTATTCAACATATTGTACCTCACAATTTTGTTCTGTGTGGATACTAGCAATAATTTCATGGCTTGGCACTTTTCCTTTAAGGAAATGAGTTTCACATCATAGCAGTCACATGGATTGATTTCAAAATGAAAACAACTGTCTCATAACTTGCTGAGCAAGAAGAATGGGCACAGAGTTTGTTGTTGTGCCTTGGTATACTCAGAGAAAAACAACTCAACTGGGTCACATTGTGACAAACAAAAACACTGTAGTAAGTATTGTAACAGGAAGTTTTTACAAGATAATACTAAAATCTGGATGCTTACTTGCTTCAAAAAAGACCGTGCTGTTTTTGCTTAGAATAGAACTGCTCAATTAGAAGCAAAAGAGGGAAAACCTCTTTTCTGGTCATAAGAATAACAGCTATCTATTCTGCAAAGCCTTAATAGACAATTATTGTCATTGCTGTGAAATTCTACTAATGTCGCAAGGATAGAATAATTCTCTTCTTCCAACAACTCTTTTCACATTCCCCGCAAAATAAAAATGAAGTGTTGTAAATTCGAAATTTTCAATCAATAAATTATGGCAATTTGTATACCCCGCTAAAAATATGTCAGACGATAGACCCAACAAACCAACCTTAAATAACTCCTGAAGAGGGACATTTTCAAAACATGCTTCTTTGCATCATCAAAGAATTTGTTATTCCTTGACTAAGGCAGTTCAAGTTTAACTTTTAATGTAGATTGTTTGTCAACCCGCAATGTGATACATTTTAGGTTCCCATATACGTAGTTAATTTGTTGTTTCCTCTCAAATGGCTGTTGTCAGTTTTTGTGAAAATTATATCTTTTTGCAGACATTTTTGTGTTCCTGATTGAGAGTGTGAATGTGTTATGAGTGTGAGTGAATGAGAGTAAATATGAGAATTGAATGATTGAATATTTACTGAATAGAATGCAAGGTGATATATAAGATACAGTGACTTTACCATTAAGCTCATGACACAGACAAAAAAACATAACCCTGCTGCTGCATTGCAGTGAGCAAACCATGGCTCAATTTCATTCTCCCTCTCCCCCCTTGCCCTTTTGACTGTGTGTGAGTGTAATGTTGAGTTCACAAGAACTGACTAACCCAAATTTTCCCTCATAAGTACAGCATACCAGGTTTCCTGTTACTGTTAGCAATCAACATGGTGATCAACTGTGGTCTCCAGAAAACTGCTAATAGCAAATAGCCTGAAATGCGCTGAATTCTTGAAAGTGTTCATTAAGTAAAAGTCCGCTATATGCTGATGAAAATTAGTACCATCAGTGAAAAGGCCTGTGTTCAACGAGCTTATTAACGTTTTGAATATTAAATGGTAGCATCTCGGCATTGCAAATAAAAACAATTTCATACACGTTTGTTACATAGGTTTTTTCACATTGTAACAATTGCATTTGTGAGCTATTTATTACCTAGAGGTTTGACAACATAATAATTGTATGCTCTAGAATCCATGACAATCTCTGATGAGTTGATGAAATATTTTGATGCTTGTCAATGCATAGTAGTTAAAATACAATGCACTCATGATTGTAACTGACATTTTGTACTCTGCCATTCCATATTTGACCTAACACAACTGTTGAATAATGTGTGAAAAAGATAACCGTCACCGGCCTTCCTGTTTTACCAGAAACCATGGCTCTAACTGGAGAGTGACTGCATTTCATCAATTTTATTTACTAACATAAACAAGGAATAGTTGCATCAAGGGATGAAGGTTAATCCTCTGGACATCTCCTGTGTAATAATACCTGCTACTTATAGAAACTAATACGCTTAGAGTTTTTACTTTGACGGTTTTAACTTTTGATGACATTCTCTTAATAGTATTTATCTTAGTCTATGGTAGACATAGTAGCTAGGGGAATTTAGATTCCTCTTTCTATCACTGCCAATGTAAGACAGACATTTTACATTTTACATGTTCTTTAACAATCTTTATCTTAACGGACAAAAGGATCATTGTTACAACTTTGTACTTTTATTATATTAAAAAAAAATAAGGCAGTGAAGTAGTAGATGGGAACAGTACAACCGAGACCTCCCTTGATGCAATCAGACCTTGATTATTGTGTTGAAATAAGATGTGTCAATGTAAATTTTTATGAGAAAATAAAAAGTGGTTTTTATTCACTGGCAAATAATTCCTACACAACCACGATATAGGACTCACTAGCAGAAAAGTGCACAGGGCTTTCAGTTGATACAGTTTTAAGGTCTGACCAACATAGAGAAATTATACTCACAGGTGCTCAGTGCTGTTGCCTCATGACTCACTGGGGTTGTTGAACTTGGAGTGAGGGATCTGCCAAACACACACCTTTCCCTCCACATCACCCAGAGCAAGAAGTTGAGCACTGTAATTGAAGCACACAATGTTCACAGCTCAAAGAGGTAAGAGAGAGCCTTTAATCAAAATCATTTTGAGATTGGGAGGGGCATCTTTACCTGGCAGTTTGAATACGAAGGGCAGACAATGGCAAATGTCTATCACCATTGTTGATATCAAGGGGCGGTAGACTTTTTGATGAATGGATATTGTAGAGATGAATGTGTCCTGATGAGTCCCAGATTACAGCAATGTCAGGATGACTCAAACTTATATCCAAGCCACACAATGGATGTGATAGATGAATTTTTCTGATAATGTTCATCTGCAAAACATAAAACATGAGGCAAAACTAGAGAAATAGAAAGTTATTTAGATAAGATTGGATAAGATTAGATTATGGATAGAGAGTAGGCCTTTACCTCTGTAAAGGAATACACATGCACCACAGAATCAGTGCCACAACTAACAAAAAGATTTTTGCTGCCCGGAACCCAACAGACTCCTGTGATAGTTCCTTTATGACCCTCTATTATATTTAGGATTGGATTAAAATACTCCAGCTCACTGTTAACTGACCGTTAAATGAATATTAGTATGCAGAACTTGGGTACACAAAGATCATAAGAAGGGCAAGAGATTTACACACTTTTCTTTCCAAGTAAGGGTCTTTTTGAGTCAGTCCTGCAAAGTGCCAATGAACCTCCTTCAACACCACAAAGAAACATTCTTGGTTCAGAAGGATTGAATGTGCAACAAAGAATGCCCAAGTTCAACTTATCCATTTCACCTTGGAGAAGAAAGCTGTGAATGTGTTAAAGTGTAAGAACATGAAATAAACATTTTTTAATAATAAAAAGTCAACATTTTTCAAGTTTGAATATGTTACCATTGCGTAGCTTTTAAAGTCCCGGTAGTAGACTTTACTGTCCAGATAACAATTGTACCATCCCGTGAAGCAGATGCCAAGACAGGCCTCATACTAGTCAGATCAAAGTTCTGAATCCATTGCATGTGAACAACAGCCTCACTATGTAGAGTCAAATTCCCAATAATTGTTGCATCATCCCGTTGTAGGTTCCATACAGTGACTTCTCCTGAAACATAATTTTGCCTTGAATGCTGCATGTATCATAAAAGTACTCTCATTCATTCTTCTCAAAGAAAGGCACTACTTTACGTACCACTAAATGCTCCACAAGCAAGGATAAAGGAATCACTTGGATGTGCACACAGACTAGTAACACAGGAGCTCACATCAAGTGACCGAAAAGTATTTTCTACCTTGGAATCTGGCCTAGGAAAGAAGTGGAGCAAAACCATAAGTAGTAATGTATCAACGTGAAAAAGCTTTAATAGACAAAAATAGAGTACATAAAAAGAAAACGTAATGTTCTCACCTGTTCATTTGATACAGACACACAGTTCCTGAGTGGTCACACCAACTTGCGTGCTCTTTGGCACATCTCGAAACAGCCAGTACGCCCCCAGTACAACTCCAGTCGATACCTGATGTGATAAACTTCAGATCATGGTGGATTTTAGAAATAACATAGTTCCTTTAAATATGTCCTACAGTTAAGGTTTTGAAAGTATTTACCTTAAACTGAGGATGATCTTTCTCTAAGCTTAAAGTATAAAGTAGCTTGACAAGGCTATTTTCTGAATTTTGAAGTTTATAATCATCAAAGACCCTACTCTTCTGATTTTTGTCTAGTTCTTCCAAAACTCGGGGTGTTATTCTATTCAACCAGGCAGCCAATTTTGATTCGTCAATGGCAGGTGGCTGATCTGTTTCAGTGGAATTAGTCTGAACCTAGAGAAGGTAAAAGTACAAACTTTATGCAAATAACCATAAGCAAATCACTAATAACATGGATAGTTTATAAGAAAAACACTGCCTTTACCTCAACAGAATTTGTAGTTGTACTCTGTACACCGGCATCAGCAAACTGTAAATCAGCAGTCTGTGAAGCATTTTCAACACAAGACCTGAAAAAGGATTCAAGATAAGGTTAATACTGTCGAACCCGTCGTCAAACGGGTGATCACGATATACATCAACATCTGCTAGCCGGCACTGCGCTGTCATCTTAACCTGTTGGACTGCCAGGACGAGGGGCAATCAACGCTGTCGACATCTTCTGACGCGAAAGGCTTCGACATGACGATTCGAGCCCTCGCTCACCAATGGCGGAGACGAATGGAAAGTTCAAACACGACAACGGC